TTCCTTCAAGGTGATTTGAGTTTCCGTTGTCTTCAGCTGTTGATCTGCCCTCAGAAATGAGCTACTTGTTTTTAAAAGAGAGAGAGATAATGGTGTTGCCACATCAGTGTACAAAAGCACTGACACAGAATAAAAACTGCACCTGGAAATTTTAGGAGAATTTAGCTGGTACTCAAATGACAATAAAGTAGATGCCAGGCAAGTCTTTTTGAGGAGAGTATGCCACAACTGGGATGTCATCCCTGAGAAACCCTTGGATCTGATAATCACCTGCATCACATTTAGAAGGCCCTCCAGTGAAGATTTTTATAAAAAACAGGTTCATATGGAGACAAGTAGCCCTTCAAGCACTGTGATCCCATGCTGTGAAGACATTTCAACAGGAAAAATAATCAGCACTTCTTATTATACCTCGGGGGGTGGGAGGGAAAAAGACACTGATAGCCTTTATAAAAAACAGGTTCATATGGAGACAAGTAGCCCTTCAAGCGCTGTGATCCCATGCTGTGAAGACATTTAAATAGGAAAAATAATCAGCACTTCTTATTATACCTCGGGGGGGGAGGGGAAAAAACACAGGCATGAAATTATAAAAACAGAGATGGTGAAAGTTGCCTTTTAAGACTACAGCTCCTAGGACATCCCTTTCATTATGGCCTGGGGTATTCTGGAAGTTGTAGTTTAAAAAAAAACTTTCCCCATCTCTTTATCATAGCACCCAGTTCCACTTAGTAAGCATCTAAAAATGGGAAGAAAAATAGGAATTAAAATCAGAATAGGAAGAAACCATAGAATAACTATAGAATATATACATTATAGAACAATGAAAGGCAGTCCTTGTGCTTCAAATTGGGGCCTGTAGTTGGTGGCATGCTGGTATTAGCTATGTATAGATTTCTCAGGTGAAGTTGAGGAAGGATCCCGGATCATCTGTGTTGTTGTTGTGTAAGGAACCTCCACCCCATTAACAATAAGCATTAGCCTAGCCATGACACTCTTTGACACACACAAAAAGCAAACCCTACTTACACAAGAAAACTCACAATATGGGCCTGAAAAGTACATGCCATACTTGTGAGGCTTGAGTTCTACCTTTTGGCAAGCCCTAACTTCTAACCTCAGAGCTGGGAACAGTCAGAGTGTTGTCGTCTCTACTAGTTTTTGTGACCTGTTGTGTTAATGGAAGCACAACCTTCACAAGTCTAAGCCCAGCCATCCTTTCATAGGTTGGACTGGGGATTCAGTGGCAAATCAGCCAGCAGTTGTGTTGAACCTTGGAGGTGTTTGGAAGACAGGACTGCTGTGGGAAGGGCCCCCCCCCATGTTCACTTCTGCAACTCTACACTTAAGAGGAGGCCAAGCATTTGCTCTTTGCTAAGCTTCGTGCCTGCTCAGAGATGTCCATGAAATGGACAACTATCATAGGAGTGATTTCCATACTAAGGGAAGTTCCTCATTTTTTGAACAGCAAGTTTCAGAATCCCGCAGGTAGCATGGCCAGTACTGGCCTGGCGCCTTCTAGGAGTTGTAGTCTGAAGTACCATGTCCAAGCTCTGAGTTAGAAGTGAGCAGCTCCCCTCCAAGAACACCTGCACAGGAAAAGTGAGGAATGCTGTGGTTTATATTCCAGCACTGTTCTAAGTGTTGGGCAGAGAGCAAGAGGATCTCCTGCCCTCAGATGTTCATAGACAGGGTGGCTCCTCAAAAAGGAGGATGTGGGGACGAAGGAACATTAACAGAGAGGACATTCTTCACAAAAAAAAATTAATGTAGTTTGCATTAAATTTGCATATATTAATTTAAACTAATATATGCAAATATCATCACAACTGAACATTATTACTGTAACTTATCTGGAAATATACTGCTGCTCACCATGCTGCTCAAGACTGTGACTAGATAACCTGGGACACCACATTGAAATAAAATGGGTAGAAATAAAATAAATAAACAAGGTGTATTGTTTAATAACTTTCTGAAATGCCCTATGCAGGGCTTGAAAAATGCTGCTTGACAAGTCACAGCTTCCTCCCTCCCTGCCTCCTTCCCCTCCACCTCTCTCTCTCTCTCTCTAATCCTGCAGTCCTCCCCTCCCCCCTCCCATTGCAGAAAGAAAACTGCCCTAGAGTAGTCCCATGCTGGAGAATATGGAGATTCCCAGCTCCCAATTTTAACCGAACGAGGACACATCCTGGGGTGGGAGGGAACCGTGGCTCCTTAAGAGACCAGGCGCTTTTGCTTTCAGTTTTAATTTTGTTGGAGACATTCAAAAGAAAGGCATTCAAAATACAAGCTTCATAACCCACAGCCACACAGGTAATAAAGCAACCCAAGTCTGAGGGTATAAATCAGTGATTCCCAATCCCAATAAATTGCAAGGCTGACTAGTGAAAGTTTTGACTGACTGGTGAGACATTCTAAAAATTTTCAAGCCCTGGCCCTATGCCTTGTATTTTTTATTAGAAATTGATTATACTGACCTCACACCTGAAGGTCACACAGTATCTACATGCCATGCCATTTCCTTCCTGCCATTCATCAGTAGTTATATCAGGATGTGTGGCTTGTGTCTCTTTTTACAAAAAGATACCAAGCAAACAAAACAAGCTGTTTCACTTTAAGAACTGGCCGATGCTTTTACCATTTACATGTATGTATAAGAGTGGCCACTTGCACATGACCAAAAAGGAGGACAGCTTTTCAAATGGAGGATCATCCTCCCTAAAGGAGGACATAACATGAGCAGGCACAAGACCCCACAGGCAAATTGCGGGGTAATAAAGCAACCCAAGTCTGAGGGTATAAATCAGTGATTCCCAATCCCAATAAATTGCAAGGCTGACTAGTGAAAGTTTTGACTGACTGGTGAGACATTCTAAAAATTTTCAAGCCCTGGCCCTATGCCTTGTATTTTTTATTAGAAATTGATTATACTGACCTCACACCTGAAGGTCACACAGTATCTACATGCCATGCCATTTCCTTCCTGCCATTCATCAGTAGTTATATCAGGATGTGTGGCTTGTGTCTCTTTTTACAAAAAGATACCAAGCAAACAAAACAAGCTGTTTCACTTTAAGAACTGGCCGATGCTTTTACCATTTACATGTATGTATAAGAGTGGCCACTTGCACATGGCCAAAAAGGAGGACAGCTTTTCAAATGGAGGATCATCCTCCCTAAAGGAGGACATAACATGAGCAGGCACAAGACCCCACAGGCAAATTGCGGGCAGGACTTGGCAACTCCACGTTTGCCAAAAACTATCCAAAGTGTGTAAACCTGTGTTCACATGGATTTGGGAAAGGGCCATTAATTTTGTTGCCAGGATGTGGTCAACATCAGTATGGAGAAGTAACTTCAGGCGTGGTTAAGGATACGGAAAATAAGTGATAGAAAGTAGAGAAAAGGCAGCAGCAATATGAAGATAGAGAAGAAAATGGAGAGCAACGGTGTATGACAAATGAGGCTGAAATGAGAAAAACACTTTGGAGAACTAAGCCAATGTTCAGGGGGCTATTCTATTCTGTTGCGCAAAATCCTGTTGTGTAACATTATGCTGGCCTGAACCAGATCCAACACTGGAAATATTTAATTTAAATGAATTGAAATCTTCCTATCCCTCTCCCCTCCCCCAGGACTGCCAGCTGTGATCCCAGAGCTATTAAAGGCTACCTACCTAGTCTCAAGGTTTCCCCAGGGCAAAATCTGGGAAAGGGAATAGGAAGATAGGGGGCGGGAGGTGGGGAAGAGGCTTTCAATTCAGTCAAATTAAGTATTTCCAGTGCCCGATCTCATTTATATCAGTGTAAGGTATCTAGCTGTGGAGCCAGAGCTTGGGAGCTTGATTCCCCCCATGTTCCTCCTGCACAGTCCCAGGAGCAGCTCAGAAGAAGGAACTGGTAAACCACTTTTGAATATTCTCTACCTAGAAAACCAGAAGTCGGAATTGACTTGATGGCACATTATTATTATTTTAGAACATTGTGATTGTTGTATGTTGTGTTCTAATTCTATTAAGAAAATAGCCGCCTAGAGTGGTTGAAATGACTAGATAGGCGGGATATAAATACAATAAATAAATAAAAATAAAAAATAAAATAAAACATCTGGATTGTCAAAATGAAGCTATTACCAGAACAGAGGATGAGGGCAAGTTGTGAACACAAAGAAACTTTCTTAGGGTTGATTATTCATTCATTCATTCATTCATTCATTCATTCATTCATTCATTCATTCATTCATTCATTCATTCATTCATTTATTTATTTAGAGAGACGGATTAATCACTATAGATCCCTGAACAAACATCAGTAACAAATTGCTCCTCCGATGCTAGAGTCAAACAAGAGCCTCCACTTGAGGGTGAAACGTGTCGCTCTGTGTCTCTGGCCCCCTTTTTCACCTCCCCATAATTATTTAATGATGCCTGTTTTTTAAAGGAATCCAAATGAAGTTATGCTGAGCCTCATGACAGTGTCACATTTTACAGCAAAATGTTTGCCACATGTCCTGCTGCTCACTTCGCTTGAGCAATCCTTTTGCCTGTGGCTGTGAGCCTGAAGGACTGGGACTCATTTTGTTGAGGCTAAGAGGGAAGACAAGGTAACAAAATAATCAGGCATGTTCTTAAAAGCTTTCCTAGTCTCTCAGGTGGAAGCTTCCTAAGAGCAGCAGCCCAGCCTGCCTGATGTCAGGTAAGCTCTTTGTGACAGAAAGCCCTTGTTTACAAAAGTCATTCTAACCTGGGATTGAGTCTCTAATACCTTGATCCAATCAGAGGGCAGGATTTTGTGACCCCGACTTTTACAGCAGTATTTATACTATTCACGCAATTTCAGGATGAACAGAGAATTGTACATTTATACATCAATCAGATGTTTGAGATAAAATGTTTTGCTCCCATTTGAAGAAGGAAAAAAGGAGGAAACATTCTGTGTTGATGATTATGTCCATGTTTTCTCTCTCTCTCTCTCTCCTCCCCCCCCCCTTTCTCATAGGGAGAGATGTCTCAGTTTTCTTGGGCAGCGCTTCGTGGTAAATTCAGGTCTCTGCTCACAACAGAACCAAGGGAAGATTTGTGACAGATGGGGCTAAGTCACAAACTTGCAGCCTCAGGCAAAATCTGTAGAACTTTCCAGAGTCTGCCCATATTTACCTGATCAGAGAGAAAAGAAAAGCTGCAGAGGAAGCTCAGCCTGGCTGCTTGTCATAGCTGACACAGAGCCATCTGCCACAAACCTGTGGCGGCTTCAGATCTCCAATCCCTGCCACCACCCTGACTCAAATTAAATACAGATTCCGAGAGACGTTACGATGGTTACACATGTACTCGGCATCACATGTAGGAGACTATTCGGGAAAAAAATGTGGCCTGTTGTATAACTGTGCTCATGTATCCCATATGTGGTGCCACATTGAATTTCCGGTGGAATCTGTTTTTATCCTTTGTACTGGATGACATGGTGCCTGAATTCTTTCTTTTTTGCTGACGTGATGGCAGCCAAGACAGCAGCTTCAAACGCTTGCTTCTTGGCTGGCTTCCTTTCTACCTAGGTTGCCAGGTTATCATTGGAGCCTCATGGTGTCCTCTGAGGGCCACGGTCTGAAAGGAGGACCAGCGTCGCCGGGACTAATTGGGCAAGCCTCTGTGCATTGTTTTTTTGGGGGGGGAGGGTGAAGGACGGCTTTTGCACTTTTTGTCTCCCCACTGCCTCTCCCCTTTTCTCTCTCCCTCCCCTTCCCAATCCTTTTGCAAATTAATGACTCTGTGGCATAGAGGTTTCTAAACGAAGGTATTAATAAGGGGTCTGGCAGGTATTCCCATGATTCACCGAGCTGCATTTGCATTTAATTAATCTTAAAGAAAGCTGCAAGATAAACAGCTGTAATTCAAACTAGCATGGGAAATATGCTACATGGTGCCATCTATCCGATAAAATAAAAGCCGAGACACTTGTTTCCTTTCTCTCAAGGTTGAAGAACAAATGGATAGACGTCAAAATAGTCACACAGAGAGAGAGAGAGAGTGTGTGTGTGTGTTACAGCTGTCGTGTACATGGGTGTGGTGGTAGGGACAGAATATGTATCTAACTTACAAATACAAGTTTTTCAAGACAAATAGATCAATATTCCACCTGTCAAGTGGCTGCATATGTTGATGCTAACTGTTTTGAAGATTTTGAAGACTGTACAGCAAGTTTTTAATAAAGTGCCCACTGTAATTTCTAATTAGCACATCTCATTCATGTATAAGGGTGCATGTCTATCTGACGATCACTGTACCTATCCTTGCAGCGGAGTCAAGGAGTGCAGTTAAGGGTTTGCCTGATGCAAACTATAATTCATTTTGCGCACACAGGTGAAACATTACTGCAACACACACACACATGCACATTAGTGGGCTCTAGACAGGAGGCCTGATGAGGCAAACAGAAATACAGATAGCGATTATTGTGGTAAACCTCTCTTTTCAGCCTCACTGTCATTGGTCCAGATCAGGGGTCACCAACCTTCTGGGACACGGAGAGGAGACCACGAGGGGTCACCAACCTTCTGGGACACGGAGACCACGTTAGAGTGCCCAATGCCTAAAGAAGGCTACATCTTAAATCAAAATGTAACAAAATTGTTAATGTACTGATTTAGATCAAAAATCAACATTCAAAGGTCAATGAATAAATGCTAACTTGAATGCAATCCATTTTGGAACAAGATTTTACTGTGGAATCCTTTTCTCTAGCTACACAGGCTTATTGTGATTTTTGTGGGTGTTTTCTGTTAGCCAAGGCATTAATGTCCAAGTCAAGGTTTGTGACAGAGACCTTTAAAATGACATGTGAATGTTCATCTCTAAGGCTTGACCTACACTTGGATTTCACCATTTTCATTTGGAAAAAGTTTGTTCACAGATGTACGTGGTGCCAAAGACAGTGAACATGCCTGCAGCTAATTTCTTTAGGTTGATAAATATATCAGGTAGACCAGAATAGAACTCTAAGAGACTATCTTCTTTGTAAATGTCTCTGAAATGATCTCTGGCTTGCAAACCAATTAATTCCATCTGAAAAAAGTTACTAGCATCTTCTGGTGCTACTTCAAATGTATTCTGAAACATTCTTATATCCTGTTTCTGGCCATCAATGAATGTGCATTCTGGAATTCCACCTGCAAGAGATTCAATGCTTTGATGTATCTTTCAACATTGAACTATAAATTCCCGTCTTTCTCAAATTTTAGTTCACTGAAGCCTGAGAAGTTTGAAAAGTTACTTTCACAAACTTGCTTCACAAAAATGTTTAGCTGTGCTTCAGATCAGAATACATTGCACATACAAGGTGTCATTTTCCCTGCAGCCTTAGTTTCACTGTGTTCAGATGCTCTGGGATATCAGTTAAGAAGGCCAAATAAAAAAAAACCATCCAGGGTCAGAAAGTACTTCTTGACCTTTTCCTTTCTCCTTGAGAAAGACATCAACTTCATAACAAAGACTGAAAAAACAACTGAGAACTTTACCTCTGCTAAGCCACCTGACTTCTGCATGCCACAATACATCTCCATATTCTGCATCTGTCTCTGAGGGAAAATTTTGAAACTGATGAGGAGTAAGGCCATTATTCCTGATGTAATTTATGCTGGATATAACATATGCATCACACTTTCTCACTGAAGAATCTTGCTACACAAGACCTGCTGGTGGAAATTCCATGCAAAGTGTACGGTTTAATTTCAATATTTTTTATTGGTTCTTGCACATACACAAGTTTTACAACCCACCATTTTCCTTGCACCATCAGTTGTAATGCTTGTCAATTTATCCCAACTCAGACTAAGATTTTCGGCTGATTCACACACCTTCAAGAATATGTTTTCAGGAGTTGTAATGCCTTTCAAACTCTATAGTGCACACAGTTCTTCTGTAATTCTGAATCTATCCCCCCCAATAAATATTTGTAGTTGAGCAGCGTCTGTAATGACATTGCTCTCATATACTGTGCCAAAAGGGGAAAAAAATTGAAACGTTTTGCCTTGACAATCAGTGATATTTGCAGCTTTTCTCCTAGTTCTTCAATGTGCCTGTTGATTGGAGATGCAGATAAACTGACACAAGATACAGTACCTTGGTGGGACACATTTTGTCCATGACTTTAACTACACACTTTATAACAACTTTGCCATCAGTGGTGGTCTATCACTCTCAGCAATACATTTAGCAAGATGATAGCTGACTCTCACAATTGACAGGTTCTCCTCAGCATGCTTTTGTCATTTTAAAATCAAAGCAAAGTTTTAAAAGTACTAAAAAAAATTAAAAGTCTTAACGTTTAAAGATCTTCTTCACCTAGTGCTGAAAAGGCAGTAAAGTTTATTTTTTGTTATAGTGGGGCCAATAACCACATCTTTTCATTAGTTATGAAGCCTGTGCACCATATTTGGCCAAAGGCTGAAACACTTGCCAAATCTGGGCTATTTGTATATTTTTGCAGCAATCACAAAGTGAGGAAAAGTGCCCAAAGATGCTCACAGGGCAGAGCAGCATGCCCTTGGATCCCTTGTGTTGAATCCAGCATACATGGGTTTGTTTGTTTTTAAAGATAAAGACACAATTAAAAGGGAGGAATGGGTACAAATACCCTCTAAAGAAGCTGCTAAACTAGTTCCAATGGAGAAAGACACTGACACACACACACACACACACACCATGTCTAAGACCTCCTGAATATACCAATTGCAGAAGTGCTGGGAAAGAGGTCAACAGCTTGTATTCCCCTGCAGCAGCTGTCCATGGCATTTCAATTAGTGTATCATATTGCCTAATTTTTGAGTTCTCTGTGTTAACCCCTCTTTTTAACTTTGTTATTTTCTCTTACTTCACTGCCAGAACTGAGCGTGCATGTGTGTGCCGATGAATGCCTGTATTTCTGTATTGGTTTTGAGTGGCTGGGTTAGAAGTTAAGTTGATAAGATCTGTCTTTCCTACTCTTCCCCCCCCCCTTCTGGTAGTGGTGGTACTACAGGCAAAGGGCCAGATTCCTTCTGCCTGACTCTGCCTAACAATGAGAAAAGAGGAGTAACTTTCCAGGTTATTATATCTGTTCATGTTTCCCTACTGATTTCCCCCTTGGATATTTGAAAATACCAGCATGGACATAGATCAGGCTGAGATACCTCCAAAAGGGCCTGGGGCAAATCAGGTCCCAATCCTTGTACCGTTATTCAGAGACCGATCAAGAGACAAGAGCACCGCCTACTTTATAATCATCCACTTCACCTCATGAGGCAGGAACACCAAGAAAAGACCTGCCCAAAATGTTCTTAACATCTGGGTCAAGTAATTATGCTATAAGGGTGGAAACGTCAAGTGTAGAGCTCACAAGCCATGAAGGACCTGGAAGTTCAAAATTAGCATTTTAAATTGGGCCCACACCTGGGCTGAAGATGACAAAGTATTCATGTAACATAATAATCAATGCCCATTTCCAGTAGCAGTTGTACAGCTAAGTTTCTGTTTTCAAGGGCGACACATACGCCATATGTGCACTAACCCAAATGATACATTGATGGAATATGAAGCATGGCTATTCTTGCCTAGGTAGGTTTTGTTGCAGGGGGACCAGCCTTACCTGCTCAGAGACACTTGGCCGAGGAAGCCACTTGTCCTTCTAGTGACAGGAACCAGACAACAAGCACTTCCAAACAAGAAAACTCATACTTCAGTGAAAGAACAAATCCTTCCAGAAGAGACTGGATAAACAACCAACTAGCAGCACCTCCATCTTCCCTGGATTAAGCTTCAGTTTATTGGGCCTCATCCAGTTCTTTACTACTTACTCCAAGGTACTGATTTTGCATCGTACTGCCTTCCTGGGGTTTTATGGGGGGAAAAGAATGCCATGCACTTACTATATTAACATGTCATTCTCATATTGATTGCACAGCACTCTAAAGCTCTAGATGAACTCATGTAATGATGTTGTGCAAATGTTTAGAAACCATGAAGGATAAGGTTCAGTGCTTAAGAGGATAGATACCATAGAGTGGGGCATAAATTTTCTGTCACTATCTTCTGGAAAAAAAGATGTCTAGATATATTCAGAGCCTCTAAAGAGGAGTACCCCCAATATGGACAGCAACTCCAAGACTAGGGTTGGGATTTCCAGATTTTTTTAAAAAAACATAAATGCCATAGTTCTATGTTCTGGGAGTTCTACCTATCTTGCAGTTACCTTACTTCTAGGTGATGCACATGGGAGAAAGGCCTGAATTAGAAGGCTTTGAGGCTTAATTAAGCTTCGCTCCTCCCAAGTTTCTGAATAAGTAACAAAGGTGCTACCCAGTATTGGGGCAGCAACAAGATGCTTGGGAGAAGCTAAGCCTAATTAAGCTTCAGAGCCTTCTAATTTGGTCTTTCTCCTACATGCATCACCTTGCCTGGAATGGTGTTTGTAATAGGTTGTTGAAGTCGTCCTTAAGCATGGCACTGACGCTGATATCAGCCTTCCCTAAACTGGTGCATTCTAGCTGTGTTGGACTACAACTCTCAAAATTCCCCAGCCACTTATGCTGTGCCTGCTGGGGGATTGTGGACCAGTGCATTTAAACCTTGGGTCCCCAGATATTCTTGGACTACAACTCCCAGAATGCCTGACCAGCACAGCTAGTACTGAAGGCCTCTGGGAGTTTTAGTCTAAGAACATCTAGGGGTCCAAGGTTGGGAACCATTGTCATAGACCAACACAACTGGAGGCACCCACTTGAGGAGGGTTTGCTTCTCTTATCATTTCCAGAGAGTGAGAGAAAGCTGGAAGAACTGTTTAAAAACAACCCCTCCTGGCTGAACTGTTTGCTGCGCTGTTTTTCTACATGTTCCTTACTCCATTAAGAAAAAGAAAGAAAGTAGCTGAGCCCGGAGTCTGTTTCACTTTTGCTCCTTTTGAATCTTATGTAATAGATCAGCATGGGTGCCAAAAATTCCAGAGCAGTCTTGAAACCCAAAGTTTAGCATTGCCATCATTTCTTAGTAATTCACTTCCCTGAAGTCACGTTTCGCTCCCTTCCAAAACAAAACAAACCACCATTTTCATTCCATTTGCAGCCTCTTGGTTTTGAACACCTAAAGTTCCCATGGGCTGCCTCTTAGTTGAGAATGCCCGACATGTTTCTTTAAAAGTTGCAGTCTTTAAATCCACTTTAATTAAAACAAGAGAGATTTTTTTTTTATTCC